AAAAAAATCTAAATTAATGTTGCTGTCGAGGGACACCTAAATGGACTCCACGTATCCGTGAATTCTTACATGTAAGATCCTTCCATTTCTCCCCTTATAAATTTTGTGGCTCTTCACAGCCTTTGGCATCTGTTAGGAGTGGAAGCTGCAATTCTGCATTTGCCTTGCCTTTGACCTCCATTAATGGCTGCTTTGAGGAGCTTGCTCAAGAAACCATCTTTACCATGCGATGACCTCCTGCTTAGGAGGCTCCTCTCCTCTGAACCCATCGTTGATTCTACTTTTGCTCAGAGGCTCAGAAATCTGCCTAAGGATCTCCCTGCTACCAATATCAAGAGAGAAGTTTCCCAGGTAACTTTCTTCTTGAACTTGCTTTTACTTCTCTGTTTCTAAACATTTTTGCCTCTTTCTGTTTTCCCGTCATTTTGAGTTCTTTCTTTTACAAAATCTTCTTTGATGTGTAGGTTTCCTCCTTTGAATCTTTCTATTTTGGTTGGTTTGGTTCTAAGTGAGGTTTTTCTTTGTTTTGAGTTTTCAGCTTGTTGGGAGAACTCCCCTTGTATACCTTAACAAAGTGACTGAAGGCTGTGGAGCATATATTGCTGTGAAGCAGGAGATGTTTCAACCAACTGCTAGTGTGAAGGACAGGTAATTGTACTATGCTTCAAACACATTTTTAGAATTTCATGTAATTTCCCATCTTGTTATGAATTTATTGGAGATTAATTATGTGTTTCATTAATTCTGTCACTAGACCAGCACTAGCCATGATTGAAGATGCTGAAAAGAAAAACTTAATTGTTCCTGGGAAGGTTAGTTAAATTGGGTTTTTGAATTAGATCTAGCGTTTGATATTGGGATTCATGAGATGATTTCCTTGTTAATTTCTGTGTTGATACGGTGGTAGACAACTCTGATAGAACCTACATCTGGAAACATGGGGATAAGTATGGCTTTCATAGCAGCTATAAAAGGATACAGGATGGTTCTCACCATGCCTTCGTACACAAGCTTGGAGAGAAGGGTGACCATGAGGGCCTTTGGAGCTGAGTTGATTGTCACTGATCCCACCAAGGGGATGGGGGGAACAGTGAAGAAAGCTTATGATCTTTTAGAATCGACACCAAATGCTTTCATGCTGCAACAATTTTCAAACCCTGCCAATATCCAGGTGCTTAATAATCCCACACCACACTATTGATCAGTGTCAAAAGGCTCAAAACTCAAAACTATTGCTCATCTCTAACAGATTCTGAGGCATAATAAGATAATTTATGTATTGAATATCTTTGATACCTTCATTAGAAATGCTCTGAATATCTTGGATGTGGATAAATTACTGACCTCAAACTTGATACAGGTGCATTTTGAAACTACAGGCCCTGAGATTTGGGAGGATACTCTTGGACAAGTTGACATCTTTGTAATGGGAATAGGCAGTGGTGGCACAGTCAGTGGTGTTGGACGGTACCTTAAATCCAAAAATCCTAATGTAAAGGTAATTAATCATCTGTTTATATTTTAGCTTTCTTCAGCAGCTGACTTGTTTTATATTTATCTTTTCATTTCCTTTAAATTTAATTTTTTAAAAAAATTTTTTTCTTCTTGTGGTAGATATATGGAGTGGAACCAGCTGAAAGTAACGTACTTAATGGTGGCAAACCTGGTAAGATTATGTTGCTTTTATACCTCCATTTTTTTTTCTTTCCTTTCTTAATTACTGTGTTCAGCTGCAAAGAAGTCAAGAGTTTCCTGTATTGGTGGTTTCATAACTGTCTGGGTCAATATAACTGGTCATGAATTTGAAGATTATCTAGTAGCTTCTAATTTTCTAGCTCATCTAGAAGATTCAATCCTTCGAGAGAATTTGCAGTCTCTAATTTGTCAATTGTAATAGGTCCTCATCTCATTACCGGCAATGGTGTTGGGTTCAAGCCAGACATATTGGACATGGACATAATGGAAAAAGTTCTTGAGGTAAAACATTTTTTAATTTTTACATTGATTTTATGTGGAAAATAACTTTAACATGGGGGATAAATTCATCTTTGCTAGTCAATCTGTGTATGATACTTGGGGAAATTCTATAACAGGTTAGAAGTGAAGATGCAGTGAAAATGGCCAGACAATTGGCATTGAAGGAGGGGCTCATGGTAATAACTCAAACGCAGCTCATTTCATTATTCTTCCTGTTTTGATACGGTTTCACTTGAGCTAGGAAAAAGCTTTCTTCTTCTTCTTTTTTTAACTGCTTACTATAGCAACAGAACTGAAATGAAACTGTACTATATGATATGATTTTGGTCCTTTTGGATATGAATTCAATTGAATCTGGTTCCTGCCTTTGGTAACAGCAATCACAGGTTTGAAATCTGTTTCCAGGCCTAAAAGCTGTTTTCAGCTTCTAGCCTATTCTCAAACTTGTAGCCTATGAAGTAAACTTTTAAATGTTAGACTTTTTTTGTTAAATTTCTTCTACAAATGCTTATATAAAAGATATAGTTAAGCCAAACTGCTCTGGATAGTCACATATCATAAATTCATAACTCTGTGGTTATGTTATGTAGGTGGGGATATCATCTGGAGCCAATACTGTTGCAGCACTCGAACTGGCTAAAAAGCCTGAGAACAAAGGCAAACTGATTGTGGTAAGCAAGATTTTCACACCAAACTCTACATGAAGCAACTTTTTATGTTGTTTAGCATTACTTTTTGTTGATAAGCGTTATTGGTTCTTCTTACTTCAATCCATTTGAAATATTTCAGACGGTTCACGCAAGTTTTGGAGAGCGATATCTGTCATCTGTCCTGTTTGAAGAGATAAGGAGAGAAGCTGAAAACATGCAACCAGTTCCTGTTGACTGATGCCGAATGCCCTGATCATTGTTATTTTGTTATCATACAGCTGCTATTGTTAAACTTTCTTTTTTCCCAATCTATCATCTGATGTAAGGCTTTGGCAACTGCATCTTCAACATTACAATTAAAAAATAAAACAACCAGCTCAATATATTTTTTTTATTTTGTTAAGATGTGACCACAATAATTCTGTTTCTAACATATTTGTTGAATGCAAAACTTTGTCTTGTGAATGAGATGAGATCATGGATTTAAACCAAGGAATTTCATGCCTTAATGGCCTCATATTTGGATTTTATCTTGTGCTGAAGTCTGCAAATTCCTTGATTTTGGTATGAATGTCTTATATTTGAATTTGATTAGCATATTGGGAAAAATTGAATCCATATAATGGGAATATGCAAATCCTTTAATTTTAGTATGGATGGTTTATGCTATTTGATTTGACCAGAAGATGTATATTTCTTTTTAGTCTCAAAATTCCATTGATCATTGAAAAGGAATTCAAAGGCACAGATTGTGAACCAGCCGGTTGGTCGGTTCATTGATTATATTGAGTTAATTGATTGAAATCGGTTTCTATCAGTTTAATCAGATAAATGGATTTTTATCCATAATCGAATCAGATTGATGATCAATTATTGGTCCGATCTAATTTTTTAAACATTGGTTCAAGGGCTCCTGGCCCTTCTCCCTTCTCTATTTTCCAAAATTGCACCATCGGTTCAAAAAATATCAGTTAAAGCAAATGTTAAGTGACCATCTATGGTGTCGTTTGCTGGTAGAATTAGTTGTACTTTTACCTATATAAGTTTATAATTCATTTTTTAGTTTCTAAGTATATGAAAAAACTGTTAAGTGAGTTGGTGATAAACTATTATAAGAATATAATTAAGGTGAAAGATATCAGAAGTGAAATGCAGTTTTACTTATTTGTTGATGGATGGAGTAAGACTACTAATATTAGGTTTATCTCTTTATCAATTATTAAAATTAGTGCAACCTACAAAACACAAATTGCATTATAGTATTCTCATTATATATATTATTTTTTTAGAAGAAATTTATTTATATAAATCTTACATGTTGCACTTGCAGCCTTAGCCGCGATGGAAGTACACCTTCCTCTTTGGCGTCTTTATTAAGGGTTTAAGTTGCCAATGCAGTAATATTGTAACTATTCTCCCATCACCCAAATTTCTCACTGGTAAAAAAAAAAAAAATATCTTACATATTGTTCTTCACGTCGTGGATGAAGTGGTTTCACTTTGTCCCTAAATGACAAAGTGGAAACACTTTGAGAGATTTGAATTTCAACTTTTAACTTTTCATTTCTAACTCTTTTAGTGGTTATAAATAATTATTTTTGTTTTAAAAAAAGAAAAGAAAAGTCTTATATATTTTATTTATATAAA